CTGTTTATCTTGAGTAGTTTGTGAAGATGAATAGGTCGCGGTTTTAGTGGAAGAAGAGGTGGTACTTGGTATATGTGTTGTGGAAGTGGCTGAACGCGGAGCATCGCGCAAACCGGTTTGATCTACATTAGTTGAGTGGGAAGTTGGGATATTGATTTTAGAATTTACTAATGTTTTTGGTTTGTTTAATGTATTAGAAGTTTTAGGACTGTTAGTGTTACTTTTGTTTGTAGTTTGATTTGTTATGGGGGCTCTGTTTGAGAACGTTTGTTTGGGCTGTGAGCCCAGTTTGTTAAGATTCATTTGGTAGTTAAGTTGGTTTTAAACAGAAAAAGCCATACTACCTGTTAGCGAGCGTAAAGACAATATGCTATCGGGAGCTTGAAAAGCGATAACGCGATAATGAACACACGTGTTGCACTGTCGGGTATGGAACACGTACTGACTATTATTATTCTAATGTTAATATATTGATATATTGAATATTTATTAGTTTATATATATATATATGTATAATAAAGTTACTGTTTGGAATTGATATTATACGATTGTCAAGTAAAACCCCCCGATCCGTCATTTATGTTAAGATAATTAACTTAACGTTAAAAGTATAAAGTAGTGAAATAATTTACTCTGGGAATTGTAAAGTTTCATTTCAATATATTTTTACAGTAACTAAAAAGATTAACATTAATGTAAACATTGCTCTCAATGGACGATATATTTGTAAAAAGTAATAATAAAGTAATTGTCGGTCAGAAAAGTATTTAAAATTGATAATTATTTATGTGGAAAAATTATTCTAGATATTTCTCGAAACTTCTATTTGGATTCATTACATTACTGATAATGCCACTCGCACAACCACCACCTGTTGTGCAAGAGAATCATTATGCTGTATGATCACATAAGCGATCTTTGTACATCAAATTACTGTAGGACCTTTTGTGAATTTTGTGTTCTCGCCACCATTATTAGTTCTTGCTACGTGGTTCTATGGTACACCTAGCTCATAGTCGTTTCAATACATTTATCACTCTTGTGATTGGCTGAGGTCATACAATTTCTATAACAATCTTTGGCATTGTGCGTCTTTCGTGTACATAAAAAGTAACTCCGTTTGTATGTGCGCTATATATTTTATTGTTTTGTTTTGCACATTTGTTGTGCCATGGTTTCCTCGAGCTTTCGTACCTGTGCACGCCTTTAGTGTTCGGCCCTGTCCATATCTGAAGTATTTACTTATTGAGCAACTACCATTGTAGTCTTCAACGTGCAAAAGTTTTAATGCAAAGTATTCATACTGTCCACTTTTCACTGCCATCATTCATCATTCATATATTGCACGTTACACAGTTAAGTCTTTAATTGTTTGTAATAATTATATTATTTTTTATCTATTTTGATCATAGATGCCTTGTCGGCCATTTTAGTATTAAGTGACCCCCCATCCACAATTTTATAATATTTTAGATTTCTTGCTTTTTTAATATATAATCCTTGTTTTGCAATCCTTAAAATTTTATCTAATGTAAGTACCATCCTCAATCGCATATACCATCCACTCCCTAGTTATTTCTTCTACATGATCATAGACAACGATACGAACGTTAACTAACACGTACGAGTATTACTGGACATTCCGTTCAAACAATTACATACACGAACAAAAACACAGAAAAATTAATACCTTGACAGCTTCGCATCAAACATAATAAGGTTCTCAAGTTAAGTTAGTCGGTTTGGATGAAATCGTATAAAAAATTAAATATTCTGAAAAAACTTGCTACAATCAAGTCGACTTTTGAACAAGATTTGTATAAATTAATGATATTTAGTATACAAAGGAGAAGTGAAGAAAGTCCTGAAAAGCGTATAGACGTCAGCATTTTAGCATTTTTTTTTTTTTTTTTAGAAATAAAATTTTTACATTTTACCATAAAAAATTTTTTAACAAATAACAAAGCAAAATTATATTATATTTTCTCTGTCAATAAAACGTTCATAAATTTGAAGTATAGTTGTCAAGTAAAAATATAAAACATCTAATTACTTATTTATTTACTTACTTATTTAAAATATCTAATATTGACAATAATTAATAATTAAATATAACATTATAATGTAAGAAATTTTTCATTCACACAATTAAAATTATAAATTTACTAAATTGGGGACATCGCTTCCACACTAATTTGATATTAATTATCTAATTATTCTACTCTACTGTATTTAATTGTTTTTTTACTTTTTATGAGGTATATATCAATTAATTAATTAAGTTCTTTAATGAAACTGAGATTTAGCTAAAAACTATTTTAGTTTTAGTATAAGTATTCATAATTTTNTAAAAACTATTTTAGTTTTTGTATAAGTATTCATAATTTCAGGACACATTTTTATAAAAAATGAAAATGCTGAATTTCATACTTATTAAGTCAGAGAAGACAAGCCAAAAAGAAATGTTGCCCAATATTTTTCTATTAACTACGAAAAAATTATTCCAAATGAACAAACAATGTTCAAAAACACTTTTAATTATAGCCTGTTAATAAAAGTAGAATTATTTATATTTGACGCATTTTTCTATCTTAACTGTATATCCAAATAGTTTTTCTTCTGCAGTATTCAATCTCAACATTGATTTGCAGAAACTTCCATGTTTCTCTTTCACTAGCCTTTTTCTTCAACTTCTAATATAAATTACATCCTTAATGTTCTATTAACTGACTTGTATATTGCAATCTTGGTCATCCTCTATGATTTTTTCCATTGTGTCTTAAAATATGAAGTATTAATTCATTTCGCCCTTTCCGTATACTCTTCCATATTAATTCCCTCACAAATACTCTTTCTAAAACATTTTCTTTATTAAAATTCTATCAATCCAACTTATCTTTTCCATTCTCCTGTAGCACCATATTTTGAATGCCTCTATTCTTGTCATTTTTTCCCTTGCAATAGTCAATTTTTTTGCATCCATTTATAATATAATATAATGCTCCAAATATACGATTTTAGAAGATTTTTCTAATATAAATGTCAATATTTTTTGAAGCTAAAAACTTTCTTTCTTATTAAATGCCATGTTCACTTTATAATTTTCTTTTTACATCTCTCATCTGACCTTGTAGTGCTATAAAATATATAAAATCTTCTACAGTTTCATCGTATTTTAATTTTATTCTTGTTCTATGTTAATGTCTCTACTACATACTAGAATTTTCGTTTTCTTTGTATTTATTTTCATAAGTAAATATTTTTTAGATATTTTTCATTCAACTCTACTATTGCAATGTCGTTCACGAATATCAGAATGCGTGTTCTATGACCATTTACTTTTATTCCTCACTGTGTCTTCTATCTAATAATATCTAGGGTGTCTTAAATATTAAAAGGCATTAAATATTAAATTTGATAATATCAGTTCATCCCTATCTGACATCTTTCATTATTTTGGACTCTTTTTGAATATCTACCACTTTTATGATTGCTATTACATTTTTATACTATTGATATAGCAGCTTTCCTTACATTATTGCAACTCCAGCTTATTTCAGCATTTTGAATATTATTATTTAGTCAATATGCGAAATTTTAATTGCATATTTGAAATAGGCATTAAAATAGATTTAGAAAAGTATATTTTGGTCTTTGATGAAAAATCAGTATAGACCAATAAATTTATTTATCAATAACAAACAATTTTTTTTTTAAGTATTGCCTCAAGCACTTTAACTTTTATACATGTTTGCCATAGAAATAATATCTACTTTATAATTTCTCTATAAAATTACAATACTAAATTATTAAATATCAATTTCCTACTCTATTTAATTACTATAATAAATTTTAATTCATTAATTATACTTTTAAATTTAAGAACTACTAAATAGAATATAAATAAGAGTTCCTTTTACTTTTTGAATAATCCACCAATTTTTTAAAATTAAATACAATTTACAGATTTGCATCGAATCGTTTCTTATGATAGTGATTTTAATCATCGTCAGATATCATCTATACTTGTCCCAACAATGCCACGTTTTATATAAATCTTATCAGTTAGTGGTGTGTGCATTAGGTGTTAGGTATTTCTTGATAGTTATGTATGTGTTTACCTCCATCAGTCAACCGGTCCGATACCTATCGTTTTAATCTTATCAGCTGACATTCACACTATACAACTGTAACAATATTGTTGTATTTCCCCCAATTAACTTGTTCGAAGTTGGCACTACCACCACTCGGCGTCATCACCAACGGGCACAAAAAGATGCCAAAATCCACGTTCGTTTTTAGTTTTTTTTGTCCTCTGTTTTTATAAATTATATATATATATATATATATATATATAAATTTTAAATAATTTAAAAAAAAATGTTATTGTATTATACATGGACCTATATTTTTCTCTTTTTACTCTTCCTTCATTACATTTATATTTGTTTTTTTTTTTAACTCAAAACCTAGTAGCTCTGTTAATGAGAACTATTCTCGCTCGGCTAAGGCTATTAGGTCACTCCAATGTTTTCCTAACTAGTAGGTAAATAGTAGGCCCTCTGGTTTGGCTGAAACCTTGCAATTAAAATATTTAATAATATGATTTGTTTTTTATAGAATTTTTTATTCATTCATACTGCACTTATATTATTATGAATTGTGCAAATATTAATAATTAAACACAGCTTATTAATAATTATATAGATGGTTGTAAAATATTTTAAGAATATTTATTCTCAAATAATTTAAATTAAAATAACTGAATAATTTTGTATATGTGACTAAACTTTAAAATAAAATAAGTTAACTTGCAAATATATAGAACTTTTCCAAAAACACTTAAACAAATATTTTAATTTTAAAAACAACATTGCAAATAGTAGATAAAATAAACTAAACTTTAGTCAATATACATCTTTAAATGTATAAAGCATGTATATATTCTATCTAATATTAATTTAACAAAGAAGTTATTCTAAATTTTGTTTTCTATATTTTCAATTGACTAAAAAATGTTCATAAAAATATACTATTTTACTTTTTTCATATTTTGGATAAATCAAATCGATACAACTAGCTATAGACTCGCGGATAAAAACGATTATACTGAATATTTATCTGAAGTAATCAATTATGTTCGATTTCAAGACGAAAAATCTTCAATGCAACACTTAACAGACGGTTTAATGGGAAATTCAGATTCCATTTCAGACTTTATTGGAGACTTAGGTTTACATATAAATTACATTAATTTGCCTAAAATATTTGATGCTATTAATGATTTACTTATCTGTAGATATACAATTGTTATAGAAATTTTCATTAAAAATATTGGTTTAATACTGCAATATTGTGATAGCTATTATTTAAAAAACCAATTCTATGATTTTACTGATTGCTTAATTACACTTAATGACGCATTAGAAAGTTCAAAAACTCTATTTGAAAATCTTAACAATGTCATACAATTCTTTAGTAATTTAAATATAAATTACGTATTTGAAGAGTATGAAAAAAAACAAACATTATTGATGAAATTTCTTTTATTAATAATCACATTCAATCGAAAAGAAAATTGGACATACTTGAGTATATCGATAACAACGCTAATCCTAAAGTTGAGATGGTTGTTAAGGATTTTAAAAATGTTAAAAGTTTTCATAACATTTTATCTTCGAAGATTTCATTTACTTCTATTAAAAACATTAAATACAATAGTTTCCAAGAAGACTTAAAAAATGATGATGCAATGCAGCACTATTCAATTTTGTATTTAGATTATGTCCAAGTATGTAATAATCTCAAAGTATTTTATGATGAAGCATTCAAGCTCGAGTACATCAATTTGGGTTTTCATAACTTACTACATCCGACAACACCAGAGTAAAGTATATTATTATTTTTAAGTAATAGTTCATTAATAAATTTATTATTTTTGTAGAATGTTATTTTGTTAATTCATCCATGTTATTCAAACAATACTTCTTTAATCACTCTATGTTTAAAGAAGAAACATGTACATTACTCTTATTTTACAACATACAGGGTGGCCCACCACTCACTGACAACTTAAATAACTTTTGATCCATTTAATATTTTTAGTTCATTTTTTTTTAAATAATAGTTATACGTTAGGTCCATAGCTATATCTCAATAATTAATTTTTATACATTTTATTAAAAATATTATTTATTTTTAAATTTTAAATAAAATGTAAAAAAAAA